CTTTAAAAACCCTTATTTTATCTTTTTCACAATCAATTCTCTTTTCCAAAACCTTTTTCTTGTCCTTCTGTCTTTTTCTTTCCTTTCACCGCCCCCTCCTTTCCCTCCATTTTCTTTTTGTTTTTGTTTTTGCTTTTTGGAGAGATATTGCTTCTTAGATCTCAAATATCCACTTTAGATATTAAAGATCTATCAAACGCAACGCCATCTGTACTACCAAGCAAAATCTGCTGGAAATGAAAGCAGCAAATGGCTGAAAATATCACAAATCTCAAGACAAGACTTGGTTTAGGAATTATTGTAATTTGAATTGTATTTGCTTAAGAGTTTTTGTTAATAAGCTGTATATTATGAGAAACTAAAAGAAAGTTATAAAATTAGTTCTCAGTACAGCGACCGGAACTCTTAAACACTTGTTTGTCATCATCAAAAAGGGGGAAATTGTTGGGAAAAATATTATAGATTTTGATGATGCTGTATTTAGATTATAATAGGGACTTTTGGTCTCCCCCAATATTCAATGTAATTTTTATTTTTAGAAATATTGTTAAAATCGAGTTCTTGAGATTTCAAATAAAATTGTGATATTTCACTAAGTGGTTTGATGCTTGAAGACTTAATCAAATTCAGTGATATGGAAATTGGATATCTTGATCGGAAATGTCAGAGACAAGTAAGGATTTCTCAAACCAGTTGAAGATCCTCTAATCCAGAACACTGCATGATAACCGGATGTCTCACTACAACCCGCTGAAGGCTAAGTCATACGAATCGGAAGACTAGCGCGGATCTCTTCTCACATGGAAGTCAATGAATGACTTTTCCGGATTTGTCAGCGAAAGAACCGGATGCCTCAAGAAAGACCGGAACTCTCAGAAGCGGACAAATGAGAAAAGACTTAGAAAATTATCTAAGTCTTGAATGAAGAAATTATACCCGTTGGTAAGGAAAAATCAATCTCTTGATTTTTAACGGCTAGATTGAAGATAATTAAGCTGATTCAAGAACAAATGACTTGAAGACAAAGTCTGGACTTCTCAAATTGAAGAGCTCGCCCAGAATTCCAAAACAAGCACTAGAAGACAAACTGAGTACCCCACTCAATAAAGAGCTACAGTCCAGGATTCTTGAACAACAGCTAGAAGACAGATTCTGTGGAAAAAGGAATCCCTCCTCAAACAATTGGGTATGTCCAAACACCCATTCCAATGAAGAATCCTCAATCACAATCTTCATTCAAAATTGAAGCCAGCAAATGCAACGAATAGTCTATTTTGATTCAACGGATAGATTATCAAATCCAGCTATAAATAGCATCCTTGGAAGACTGGAGAAATAGATGAGATAGAAAGCACGAAATACATACAGTGAAGAAAACTACTACAAAGATATCTCATTAACAGTTAGCCAAAAGCTTGATAAAGAGAGATTTCTAAACTCCTTATCCAAAAGCAAACTTCTCCTCCTTCCAAAGAGCTATAGTGTAAACACTTGAAGGTTTCCTTGCCTCAAGTACCACACCACGTTGAAGGATATAACTTTTAATCAAACATCTTGCTTAAAAGGGGGTACATCAACTTTCTTACAAGTTGATCTTGCAAGTCCTATTGTTCGGATCTTGCAGTTATTGAAGAGGCGTGACCTTCGAAGGAACAACAAAGCCAGCACGAGTGCAGTAGAAACATTGGCCTTGCGAAGATATACCGTGCAGAAATTCACACAAGTGTAATTGTTGGTTCATTATTCAACAACCAACTACATAGTGGATTTTGAGGACGTACAAGGATTACCCCACCTTCGAACCTCGTTAAAGTTTGCGTGTCTCTCTGTTTTTATCTTTACTCATACTTGCAATTATATTAACTATGAAAACTAACCCATCCATATTGATTACTGCTCAATCACCCACCAAATTCCGCGCACAATCTAAAGTTCACAAGAACTCTAGATTAACAATCATTTTCACGATTTCAAAAGAAACAAAAAAGTTTTAAATTTGTAACAAAGTCTATTCACCCCCTCTCTAGACTTTGTACCTCACCATTTCGGGACCACCAATTGGTATCAGAGCTGACTTCTCACTATCAACATTAAGATTAACGAGAAGAGATCATAATGGTGAACAATATGGATCACGGTTTGCCCAAGTTTTCTCTTCTAGGTTATGATGATTGGAAGATCATGATGGAAGCACACCTCTATGCTCTACATGACTGCATGTGGATGGTGCTCTAAGATGGACCCTTGAAAATCCAAATGGAGAATCCCGAGAGGAATCTAGCCAATCCAGATGTAGTCCAGTACATTCCAAAGCCCAAGGAGAAATGGGATGATAGAGATTGCAAGAAACACAATCTGGACAACATCGGCAAAGCAGCCATCTTCAAGACACTTGATCCCATCACCTTCTGCAAGATCAAGCATCTCAATACTGCCATGGAGATATGGTAAGGTCTTAGGAAGCTGTGCGAGGGATCAGAGGATCTAAGAAAGCAGAAGATAGAAGTCCTGCTTGAGAAGTTCAAAAGCTTCAAAATGCTTTCCGGAGAATCATTTGATATGTTGGATGAAAGATTCCACAAAAGTTTGAATGATCTTGCATCACTTAACCACGTTCTTTCTCCCAAAGAAAAGAATGTAAGGTTACTGAGGTCTCTTCCAACCGAGTGGTACAACAAGGCCACAGCCATGGAAGAAGGAAGAAATCGAGAGAACTACACTGTCCAAGGTCTCCTTGATGAGCTCAGAACCTATGAGCATGAGCTGAAGAAGAAGAAGGAAGAACAAGTCACTCCTTTTCCCACGGCACTGATGACAACTCCAAGAATCCCATCAAGTGAAGGGACATGTCCAAGGAACTGTGACACACCTTCCTCCAGCCAGCCGTCAAGCTCAAAAACGGAGAACTACGATGAGGAATATGCTATGATGGTCAAGCAATTCCGGAAGTTCAAGAAGTTCTTCAAGAAAGCTGACTCAGTCAGAAGGCCATCCAAGGGAAAGCCACAGGTAAGTGACTCTCCTCCTGAATCTTATTTGTGTTACAATTGCAGGAAACCTGGCCATTGGAAGTCAGCATGCCTGTACCCAAAAGTGGAGAAGTACGGAGAAAGAGAAAGGAACGAGAAGAAGAAGAAGGAAATGGTTGTAGCTGAAAGTGATGAGTCATCCAGCTCAAGCTCGGATGAAGAAGCCCTCGTCTGCATGGAGCGCAGAGCTGAGAAGTCCAACCATGAGGATCGGTGGACTATGTCAGAAGATGACACCCTCTGCCTAATGGCCAAAGATGATGCTGATCAAGAGGTAACTTCACAAACCTCTTGCTCATCCTCTTATGAAAGCATACCAACATCTGAAAGTCTTTTTGACAAGTTGAAAAAGATGATGAAAGATTTTGAGGAAATAAATCTCAAACACTCATCCTTAACACAGAAGAGAACAAGCTGTTGAGTGAAGAGAATCTCAAGTTGATTGAAGGTCGGAAAAGTCAACTAAGTGAGATTACTCAACTCAAGGCTGAAAATGAATCTCTCTCTGAAAAGGTGAAATCCCTCAACAAGGAGCTAGGGATACTTAAGTCCAAAGAAGCAGTGGATAAGCTTCTTGAAAGGACCAAACATAAAGGTCGTGAAGGACTTGGGTTTGACCCCGCCAGTTCCAAAAGGAGAGGGAGAACAACTTTTATCCCTCCTAAACTTACTGCCAGACCCAATAAGCAGAAAGGAAAGGAAAAGGAGAAACCAACAGAAGTTCCCAAAAAGGTAGTCCCTCCTAAGAACTATAGGAAGCTGGACAGACCTCAAAAAGGAAACAATTTCAGAAGAAAACCTTCTAACCCCCAATATACACAAGGCTATACTCATTATGGGGTAGATAAGAGTTTTTCAAGAAATTCTGAGTGGAGAACTATGCCAAGATGTAGTCATCCTCCACCCCAAAAACTATTTGTTCCACCTAATTATGTTTACAACCGTCACAGGTCACATTATGCACAACCTAGACAAAACTATAGGTCTTATCGACCTGAGTTTGCTAGGAGGAAACAGGAAATTGCACCACCTGCTCGTAGGAAAGTTTATGCCTACAACTATGAATACAATCCCAACAAGTTTAGAGCTGCAAGAAAAATTCCCTGCAACTTCAAACTTGATGTAGGGACACACACCATTAACTATTCCGGACCCAAACTGAATTTGGTATCAAAATCTTCCTCCTCCTAATGCAGGAAGCTGCTAAGTACCCAGGTGTCTGGTACTTAGACAGTGGCTGTTCAAGACACATGACGGGTGATGCGAGTCTTTTGAGCAATCTAATTCCCTATGATGGTCCAAGAATTACTTTTGGAGGAAGCAATGATTTTGGCCTTACTAAAGGGCTAGGAAATCTGGTGTACAAGGGACTAACCATCCAAGCTGTATCTTATGTGGAAGGTCTCAACTATAACCTTCTTAGCATAAGTCAGTTTTGTGATAAAGGTTATTCCTTGGAATTCTGCAAGGACATGGCATCCCTCAAGAACAACTCCACAAATGAAGTCATTCTCACTGGGAAGAGAATCAGAAACATCTATGAAGTGATGTGGGATGATGTCAAGGAAGCATGCCTAATCAGCAAAGGTGACAGTAACCTTCTATGGCTTTGGCATAAGAGGTTGAGTCATCTCAACTTCAAAACTCTCAACAAGCTATCCAAAGAAGGGTTAGTAGAAGGTCTTCCCAAAGCTGTGTACAAGAAGGAAAGCATTTGTGATGCTTGCCAGAAAGGAAAGCAAGTCAAGTCCACTTTCAAGGCAAAACCAGCACCCTCAACTACAAGGATATTAAGTCTTGTTCACATGGACTTATTTGGCCCTGTTACACCAATAAGTCTAAGTGGAAAGAAATGTGTCCTAGTAGTAGTTGATGATTACTCAAGATACATGTGGACAATCTTTCTCAACAGCAAGAAGGAAACTCAAGGGAAGCTCACAAACTGCATGAAGCTGATTCAAAACCAAGCAAGTCAGACCATCCAGAAGATCAGATCTGACAAAGGCACAGAATTCCTGAATGAAATCATCATTCATTACTGTGAAGAAAACGGAATTCTTCATCAGACATCAGCAGCAAGGACACCCCAACAGAATGGTGTAGCTGAAAGAAGAAACAGAACCTTGAAGGAAGTAGTAAGAACCATGCTAGTCGAAGCTTTCTTGCCAAAGAGGTTCTGGGCTGAAGCTGTAAACACAACTTGCTATACTCAAAATAGGAGTATTGTTTATAAAAGGCACAACAAAACTCCCTATGAACTATGGAATGGGAGAAAGCCTAATATATCATATTTCCATGTTTTTGGGAGCAAGTGCTTTGTGTTAAACAAAGGGAAGAATCATCTGAACACTTTTGATGAGAAATCACATGAGGCCATCTTCCTGGGATACTCCATGGTGAGCAAGGCATTCAGAGTCTTCAAGAAAAGAACCATGATCACTGAAGAGTCAATACATGTTATTTTTGATGAAAAACATGTGGTTGACAAGCCATCAAAGCATGATCATGAGGTTCTGGATCTCTCAGACAAGGATCAAGAAGTCAATGAAGAAGATAGAATGAAGCCTACGGAATTCATTCCATTCGGAAGTCTACCACTGAAGACTTCACAAAGAAATCCGGATTCAGACGGTGCTGAGCCTACCAGAAATCTTGGCCAACCTTCCAATATTCCGGATCACTCACATGGTGACAATTCCGGAAATGGCGACCGAGTGCCAATCCATCCGGAATCACCAACAACTTCTGTTCTTCAACCAGAAGCTGAACTAGATCAACCGGTCAACCCTAATCAACACAATCTTCGTTGGTTAAGGGATCATCCTCCTCAACAAGTCATTGGAGATATTCAATCTGGCGTTCGCACAAGGAGTGCTCAAAAAAATCTAGAAGCTATGCTTGCTTGTTTCATCTCACAAGTGGAGCCAAAGAATATTGAAGAAGCTCTAGCTGACTCTGATTGGATCAATGCAATCCAAGAAGAACTCAACCAATTCACCAGAAATGATGTCTGGAAACTTGTTCCCAGACCTACTCATCAACATGTCATTGGGACAAAGTGGGTCTTCCGGAACAAGATGGATGAAAACGGCATTGTTGTCAGAAACAAAGCCCGGTTGGTTGCCAAAGGTTATTGTCAAGAAAAAGGTATAGATTTTGATGAAACCTTCGCTCCAGTTGCTACACTTGAAGCCATAAGGCTGTTTCTAGCCTTTGCTGCTCACAAGGACTTCAAAGTCTATCAAATGGATGTCAAAAGCGCGTTTCTCAACGGAAACCTAGAGGAAGAAGTTTATGTGGAACAACCTCTAGGATTTGAGTTACACACTAAAGGCGATCAAGTGTACAAACTCAAAAAGGCGATATATGGACTCAAACAAGCACCAAGAGCTTGGTATGATACATTGTCTCAATTCCTTATAGACAATGGATTTATCAAAGGAGTCATTGACAAGACCTTGTTCAAACTACAAGATGGGAGACGACATCATATTTGGCTCAACTAAAGAAGCTCTTTGCACCAAGTTCTCCACCCTCATGCAAGGAAAATTTGAGATGAGCATGATGGGGGAACTCAACTACTTCCTTGGTCTTCAAATCAAACAGAGAAGTGAAGGAACTCTCATCAACCAAGCCAAGTACACAAGGGATCTTATCAAGAAATTCAAAGTTGATCACAAGTCATCCGTTTCTGTCCCCATGAGTACATCCACCAAGATTGATATGGATGTAGATGGAAAGGATGTTGATCAAACTCTCTACAGAGGAATAGTTGGATCTCTACTCTACCTTACTGCAAGCCGTCCGGATATCTCATATGCAGTAGGTGTTTGTGCCAGATTCCAGTCAAAGCCAAAGGAAAGTCATTTAATTGCAGCTAAAAGGATTCTTAGATACCTCAAAGGAACTCAGAATATGGGTTTATGGTACGCTAAGAGCAGCTCATTTGAGTTAGTGGGATACTCAGATTCTGACTTTGCCGGATGCAAAGTTGACCGAAAGAGTACATCTGGTACTTGTCAGTTCATTGGCGGAAATCTTGTTTCTTGGTTCAGTAAGAAACAAAACTCCATCTCTACATCAACAGCAGAAGCAGAGTACATTGCTGCTGGTAGTTGCTGTGCTCAAATCTTGTGGCTAAAGCAACAACTACTGGATTATGGAGTCAAAACAAAGGAAGTGACAATCTTTTGTGACAATCAAAGTGCTATAGCCATCTCACAAAATCTAGTGCATCATTCTCGCACTAAGCACATTGATGTCAAGCATCACTTCATCAGAGATCATGTGGAAAAGAAAGATATCAAAATTGAGTATATCTCAACTGAAGAACAATTGGCGGATATCTTCACAAAACCACTAAGTGAAGCCAAGTTCTCCGATTTGCTTCACAAAATTGGTCTAATTTAGTTAGACTGAGTGCTGTACCCGTGGCAGTCCACTTTCCACGTCTTTCAAAGTAATGGGTAGGCACGTGGCCTTGGGAACAATTAAAAACCCAATCGCCACTAGCCGCATAAATCACCCAAATTAAACCCAATCGCCACTATAATCAGATCTCAACTTCCCACTCAGCCCACTCAAATTTTCGTCGTCTTCTTCACAAGAACTCTCTGATAGAATTCTCAAGAACCCTAAAATTCTTCAAATTCTTCAGATTCTTTCACTCAAATTTCAGAGAAAATGAAGATTGTTGGTGCTAATGTCCATTTCCATAAATTGGAAGGCAAGTGTTCTTCACCGGCATTCTATCAGACCTATCTGGAGATGATTGCTGCTCAAGAACTCTCCGAATTCCTTGATATGGAGATTCACTCCAAATATGAAGATGAAGTTCTTGAATTCTACAGAAATGGAAAGGTCAAGACTGTCCAATCGAAGAAGAATCCACAGAGGATGATTTAAGTCATCAAATCCACTGCTGGAGGCGCCAAAGTGAAAATTTCATAGAAGAAATTGGAGAAGAAGCTTCATCTTCCCAATTTCTGGAAGTGAAATTGGGAGACTTCCAGCGAAGAAGGCAGATTTGAAGAACGATTACAGATTGGTTCTGGAGCTGGTGATCGCATGCCTTGAATGTGGCATTGGAGGACATGCAGATGACATAACTCAGGAAAGGGCATTCATCATCAACGCCCTCATTACCAGGACAAAGGTAAACTGGGCTAAACACTTCTTCAGTTCTATTTCCAAGCACTTAGGGAAGCCCAAACAGAAATATCTCTGTCAAGGATTGTACCTTGGGTACATTCTGGAATCCTTGGGAGTTGCCTCTGAAGGCAAGAAGTATGAAGCCAGATATTGGCTCTACTACTGGCTTCCAAAGGAGAAAACAGAGTCAGTTCCACTGCAGAAGATGAAGGATCTTCAGATAATGTCCTCATTATGAGTCTGAAGAAGTCATCAAAGAGGAAGAAGCACCACACACTTTGGCAGTGGTGAATCTAGATGAAGAAGAAGAAGTTCCTGCCCAGGGGGAACTTCAGAAGAAGAAGAAAAGAAGAATTCTCTCTCCCTCCACATCTGGAAGTGCCAACCCGGATGAGTTGGTGGGAAAGGAACCAGTTGAGGAACCCTCTGCACACAACGAGATCCCTCAACAATTGGATGAAGAAACTCCTCAAGATCAGAGTTTTCCATCTCCTCCATTACAAGCTCAAACAGATGATGTAGAGAGCCAATTCATGCAGCTCTACTTTTACTGGAGAGCTTGGAAGGTTGGAAATTCAGCAGAGCAGTTGTTGGGATGGGACCAACAACTGAAAAATGAGAAGATAATCAAGAAATGCTTGGGTCTGCCAGTCAATCATTGTTGTGAGCAAATTCTGGATGTTGACTGGGTGTGGCAAATAAACTATGAAGATTTGCATCTGGAACACTTGGCCACCTCACCAGTCTCAAAATTTGAAGTGGATGATGAGGATCCTGCAGTCTACAGGCCAATATTCTCAAAGGCAACAGAAGAGCAGATGGTTCTCACCACTGAAGCACATGCTGATATGGAAGCAACAGCAGAAGACTTCCAAGTCTTTCCGGAAAACTTACATGCCTTTGAAACGGTTCTTCCTGAAGCTGTCCAAGAGAATGCAGCTTCTCCACAACAAGAACAGAACCAGGAAGCATCAGAGGAAGAACTCCTTCAACTCCTCCAAACTCAAGTTCAAGAGATCCTCACAACTCCATGTGAGATCTCCAAACCAACTGAACTTGAGATTCTGGAGAAGTCAGCAGAGAATTGCTGAAAATCAGAAGGAAGCATTCAAGCTGTTCAGGCATTTTGGGACCTACACTGGCAAACGCAAGCTAGATGTAATTGTCCAACACAATAGTCCATCCCTGATCCCACAGCTCCCTATTGAAGTCAAGAAAGGAGAACTCACATACATTCCATCTCATCTGAACATGACGGAATTAATACTTGAAGCCCAGCAGAGCAATCCGGAGAACTCAACGCAGCATCTGACAGATTCTGGTCTTGATGGAACAGAAGCTGTAGGAACCATTGCCTCTCACTTCTCAAATGATGCTCAAACTAAGGAAAGAAATAACAACCTCAGGCGCATCAAAGAAGAGTGTGGAATCATGCAAGGCATTGGTGAGACTGCCGGATCATCCAAGCGCAAGAAGCAATGAAGGCTCTTTTCATCAAATCAGGGGGAAGTATGTGAAAACATTATTGTGCTTTGATGAAAGCACCTTCTTGTTTAAACATGAGTTTTTGGTTTAAACATTGCTTAATACTTCTCTTAATTATGCTTATTATGCTTGATCATATTCATTTTAAGTATGATTTTTGAGATTTATTTTTAAGCGCATACATTCAGGGGGAATGTAATGCAGGGGGAACTTAACTGTTTTTGGCTAACATTTGTTTTTGGTAATGAACTATTGATGAACTCTAAGCAATGGAAGACGGATACCTCAGTTTTAGTACTAAAGTTGGAGAACTCTGATTCAGGTACTTTACAAAATCTGCCTTCTTAAACTGAGCTTTAATCCTTAGTTCATTTCAACTTTGCTCTAAAGTTCTGGTCCTTAGGATTTTATAATGTACAGGACATTGGAAAAATAGTACCACTTTTTCTTTTAAAAATGAATCTTATTTTTTTGGTACTACCTCGTCCTAATTAGAAATTAGAATTATAGGGAATGAAAAATGATAGTTTTATTTTGGGCCTTAAGAACCCAATAGGAACAATTTCCCTTTAGTGCATAGATTTTTTTTGGGCCACTCTTTTGGGCTTAGCCAAACCAGAACTCACCGTTCCAACTACCCACTAAATGGAACCCGTGAACCTCCCCTCTCTCAACCTCTCCTCCTATTTAAACCAACACATTTCAATCCATTCATATCACAAACAACTCTCTCAATATGAAAAGTCTTCAAACTCACTGTCTGAGAAAAATACCAAGAAAAATATCCTCAATGGAGAAATTTTTCTTTCTCACCCTCATAGACGGCAATGGAGAAAGCCTAATGAGAAGAAAAGACATTCAAGGTCTATGGTGAGAATCTCGGCAGTAGAGAAGGTTTATGGTGAAAATCTCGCATTTTTCAGGATTTCGCCATACACCTTCTCCGAAACAACACTCTCTCCATTTTTGTTTCATCTTTTTCTTTTTCTCTTTTTTGTTCTTCAAATTTTATTTTCAAAATTTTTTATCTTGTCCTACTTTCATCTCTCCCTCTCCCCCTCTTTCCTTCTTTTATTTTCTTTTATTTCTGCTGTCTTTGCTCCCTTCTCCCAAGCCTTTTTCAATTTTTTTTCTAATTCCAGCTGTGATGCAAGCCTCTCTATCTTTCCAGGCTTGTTCATCTTTTTTTTT